TCACTAGATTTCTTGAGGATCTCACTACATTTATCGGCGGTCTCACCAGTCTTTTCGAGGGTCTTACTAAATTTTTCGGCAGCTTCTAGACAGTTCTTGAGAGACCTTAAAAGTGTGGTTTTGAACTCTATATCCAGCACTTTGCTTTCCTCCATTTCTGTCATTTGTGTCCTGTTTCTTTGTCTTGGCATTTTTTATGCTTCGCTGTGTCGATAGAGTGGCTTTCTGTGCTAAGTGTCCCAATTACCTGAGGTAGACACTCTTGGTGCACCCCCTTGTGGGCTTTGTGCACAGTCTTGTTGTAGTTAAGCCTTGATTGTTGTATGTAAAGCTGGGAGGATTTGATCTCCAGGCCAATTGGCTGTGAGAATCAGCTGTGTCTACGGTGGGAGAACTTCTGTGCTGAAGACACCTTTATGGGGCAAGACTTGCTTCAGTGGGGCTTTGGTGCTCACTGAGTCTGCCCCCTGAGTGTGTCCCTTATAGATCTGAGGAGTTGTAATTGGATGGTCCCACTCTGACCACTGAGTACACTGGCTCTTGGATCTAAGGAGGTGCTAATCTAGCCTTTGCCTGAGGCTACCCAGCAGAAGCCAGCTGTAAAGCAATGCAAGTTGCCCTGGGGCCTTGGGGCAGCTGCAGTTTGGTAAGTTATTTTCAGATTACAAAGGGCCGGGCCTTTCATATGCAAAAGCCTCCGTGCATGGCTTGGGTGGGGCGGGGTCTCAGGGGATCAACAGGGCGGGCCGAGTGAGTCAGCAGTATGGCTGCTCTCAGTCCTGCCTTCAGAGGTCCTGGCAATCGCCGAGAGTGCCTCCGAGAGAAATTTGACCTCGAGTTCCAACCAATGCCAGACAGTCTTGTTTCTCCCGTATGAGTCTGGGTCCCCAGAGACTCGTCCGGAACTGGAGCTCAGAGCCTGAGACTCCCTCCCGATTGAAAAAGACAATCGTGTCCTCAGCCACCAGCCCTCTCCACATGCACCTCCGCACCTTTGTATTTACTTCAGCACCGCACCTCCTCTGAGTCTTGGTATGCTTTTCTCTTTCCTTCTAGTTGTAGAAATTCCACTCAGCCAGCCTTCTTGTGGTTCTGGATGATGTCTGTTATGTCTTTTAGTTGTATTTTTGAAATGGTTGTGCGAGGCAGCAATCTCCGGTGTTTACCTATGCCGCCATCTTGGTTTCTCCCTCAAATAAATCCTAATGTAAAATGATTTTCATTTAGCTTATATCAGTAACCTGAGAATTCAGTTGTGATACAGCTGATAGGGTCTGAGATTAGGAGATCTGATATCTATAGCTATATCTTATCTATCTTTATCTATCTATATCATCTATCTATCTATCTATCTATCTATCTATCTATCTATCCATCTATATAATTGATTTCAGAGAGGAGGGGAGAGGGAGAGAGAAATAGAAACATCAATGATGAGAGAAAATCATTGATCAGCTGCCTCCTGCATGCCCCCCACTGAGGATTGGGCCCACAACCTGGGCGTGTGCCCAGACCGGGAATAGAATAGTGACCTCCTGGTTCATAGGTCAATGCTCAATCACTGAGCCATGCTGACCTGGCAGGAGATCTGAATTTAGTTTTTGTTCTGCTGTTGAGTTAGTTGTGTAGTCTTGTGAAAAACATAGACATCAATTTTAAATAATTTTGGGAGAAATAAGGCATTTTAGTATATTTATGTCAATGATAAATTTTTTTTCTTTTAGGAATCTGATTTTCTTTGTCTTCTTGGAGTAAGCTATGCATTTGAAAATGAAGATAGTGAGTTAAATAGTGATGGTGGTGAAAATATATACCCACATGAAGATGATAAAAACCAAAAATCTAGTGTATATAACAATGATTTTCAGAGAGAACCTGGATTTTATTCCGTTTCTGAAAGTACTTGTTATGAAGACCAGTTTCCATCATCAGAGGCTCCTGATGATATCAGAAAAACTAGTAACTCAAAAAATTGGGAAGGAGTAGAAGCTGGAAGTGTGAAACAGGATCCTATTCCAGAAGTGGATTATGTCCCGCCGTCCACAGCTGTGCCTGAAGTGAAAGGATGGTTTGGATTCAGAAGGGAACAAGCAGAAGAGATCACTTTTGAATCAGTTATTGAACAAGAAAGCTCATTTCAAAGTAGAAAAATAGCAGTAGAAGACGAGAAAGACCTAGAGAAATTAAATAATGGTGGGCCTCAAACAGAACATAAACAAGAACATGAATCAGAACTCAGTTCAGTGCCAAAGAAACAGTCCAGAGCATCTGAGTCAGAGCACATTCTCAATCCTCAAGCAACTAGTTGGTTTGGCGGTAGATTTACAAGTTATTTAGGTTTTGGAGGTGAGGAAACAAGGCCTGAATTATTGTCCCAAGAAAGCAATCTACCACTACAAGATGTTCCTACTTCCATATCATCTGAAGAAGAACCCACCGTTCCATGTACAGAAATATTATCAGAGAAAGAAGACACAGTTACTAACAATAGCTCAATTATTGAACCAAGTTGGTTTGATTTTGGTTTTAGTATGCTAGGCTTTGCATATGCCAATGAAGATAAAACTATGACTTATAGTGAAAAGAAAGAAGAAGGAGGTAAAGGAGAGAAACATGAACATCCTCCAACAAGTGAATTTGACCCTGATAAGAAACAAAAAATCAAAATAATAAAAATTATGGAAACTGAAGATCAATTAGGCAAGGAAGGAATTTTAGAGAAAACAGATGATTCTGATACCTTACCATATTTTAAACATTTCTTGCATAATTTTGACAACCCTTGGGACTTTCAGAACGATGAAAATAATGTATTTGAAAATGATGAAAGAGAAGAATTTTCATTTGAAAATGATCCCACAGCTAATACAAAACTTATGATGTTAAAAAGAAGATACAGCCAGTCAGGTTGGTATAAAAATATCTTTACTATAATTTATTTTTAAAAGATAATGGATATTTATTTACTAGAGGCCTGGTGCACAAATTTGTGCATGGCTGGGGTCTCTCTGGGTGACCTGCAGAGATCGGACTGAAACCCACAGTCCAACGCTGCCTGCAGCTCCTACCTGCTGCTCCCGCTCATCTTGTCCCCTCTGCACCTGCTGTGGGCTTGAGCCCAATCAGTCCCAACTGGGAGAGGCTCCTGCTGCCACAGCAGTGCTCGCCAGCTGTGAGCACTGTGTCTGGGCTCCTGAGGGGAGTGGCCTGTGGGATCAGGCTGAAACTGGCTCTCCAACATCCCTGGAGGGGTCCCGGATTGTGAGAGGGTGCAGGCCAGACCGAGGGACCACATCAGTGCATGATTGGTCTGCCCGGGAGGGACACGGGAGGTTGGCCAGCCAGGGAGGGATCGGGGAGGGCTCCAGGGCATGTTTGGCCCATCTCCTTCAGTCCCTATTGGCCTGACTCCAGCAGCAAGCTAACCTACCGGTCAGAGTATCTGCCCCCTGGTGGTCAGTTCACATCATAGTGAGTGGTTGAAAGGCCTTAGCATATCATTAGCATATTACACTTTGATTGGTTGAACAGTCAACCAGTCACTGGACCACTGAACACTTAGCATATTAGGCTTTTATTATATAGGACTAGAGGCCTGGTGCACAAAAATTTGTGCACTGGCGCAGGGGGGGGGGGGTTGTCCCTCAGCCCGACCTGTGCCTTCTCACAGTCTGGGACCCCTCGGGAGATAACCACCTGCTGGCTTAGGCCCGCCCGCTCCCTGGGTGGCAGATGGCAGGCCCTATCCCACAGTGCCTGCCCCGCCTCCCCGGGTCGCCCACGGCATGCCCGATCCCACGGTGGGGCGGGCAGCAGATGTCCCTGCCCCGCCCCGCTCGCCGGGCTCCTTGGGTCGCCCACGGCAGGCCCGGATGGCAGCGAGGCAGGCAGTGGATGGCGTGGTCCCCCCCACCTGCAGTATGCAAATTTAACGGCCATCTTTTTTGGGATAATTTGCATACTCTTTTGATTGGCTGATGGGTGTAGTGAAGGTATGGTCAATTAGCATCTTTGTCTTTTATTAGTGTAGATAAGTACAAAAAAGATATGTGCTTTTATTAGTACAAATGCCAGAAATCCATATTCTCAAAATACTTAATAACCAACAACATTATTAACCACCCTTTGTCAATTTCTGATTTGTTCTGGGACTTAAATCTTTTTAAAAAATATATGTTTTTATTTCTTTCAGAGAGAGACAGAGAGAGAGAGATAGAAACATCAATGATGAGAGAAAATCATTGATCTGCTGCCTCCTGCATGCCCCATGCTAGGGATCAAGCCTTCAACCTGGGCATATACCCTGAAATGGAATTGAACTGTGATCTCCTGATTCATAGGTCAATGCTCAACCACTGAGCCATGCCAGTGGGGCTGTAACTTAGATCTTAATATCCTATCTAATAAAAGAGTAATATGCAAATTAACTATCACTTCACGATAAACATGGCGGCACCCATAGCTAATAAGGAAGGAATATGCAAATTGATGCAACAAAGATGGCGGCGCTGGCCGGAGCCACGGAGCCAGCCAGAGCGGGTGGGAGGCTTGGCTTGGCTTGCCTTCCTGGGTCATCCCAGTGAACCAGGAAGCCAAGCAAGCCGGCCAGAGGAGAGCTGGGCCCCAGTGACCCAGGAAGCCAAACCAGGCTCTGTGGCTGCCGCGCAGACAAAGCCATAGTGGCAGGGCTGAGGCAGAGGTGGTCAGGGGTGATCAGGATGGCGGGGGGGGGGGGGCAGTTGGTGGTGAGCAGGCCAGCAGGGGGGCCATTGGAGACAAACAGGCCAGCAGGAGGGGCAGTTTTGGGCAAGCATGCTGGCAGGGGGGGCAGTTGGGGGTGAGTAGGCCGTGGGGGGGCAGTTGTGGCCAAGCAGGCCAGCGGGGGGTACAGTTGGGACCAAGCAGCCTGGGGGGGCAATAGGGAGTGAGCAGGCTGGCAGGGGGGTCCAGTTGGGGGCAAGCAGCTGGCAGGGGGGGAAGTTGGGGGCGAGCAGGCTGGCAGTGGGGGGCAGTTGGGTGTGATCAGGACAGCGGGAGGGGCAGTTTAGGGCAATCATGTTGGCAGGGGGGTCAGTTGGGGGTGAGCAGGCCGGTGAGGGGGCAGTTGGGGCCGAGCAGGCCAGTGTGTGTGTGGGGGGGTGGCAGTTGGAGGCGAGCCGGCTGGTGGGGGCAGGGGCAGTTGGGAGCAATCAGGCCAGCAAGGGAGGGCAGTTGGGGGTGAGCAGGCAGGCAGGCAGGTGAGCGGTTAGGAGCCAGTGGTCCCGGATTGCAAGAGGGATGTCCAACTGCTGATTTAGGCCTGATCCCTGTGGGATCAATTCTAAACCAGCAGTTGGACATCCCCCAAGGTGTCCCAGATTGAAGAGGGTGCAGGCTGGGCTGAGGGACACCCCCTCGTTCATGAATTTCATGCACTGGGCCACTAATCTACACTAATAAAAGAGAAACATGGTAATTAGCATACGACCGCTACCCTTCCCATTGGCTAATCAGCATATCCTTATGCAAATTAACTGTCAGCCAAGATGGCGGCCAGCAGCCATGCACTGAAGCGAACAGGGAGGCTTGCTTGCTCCAGTGATGGTGAACTCCAACGTTCCCCGCCTGACTTGCCGGCCTATCAGCTGCAACTCTAAGCAACTATGTTGCAAATATAGAAGCTAAACAAAACCCCAGAAACCAGCTTTCAGTCAGCCGGGCTTCAGCCAGCCTGACCGCAACATTGTATCAATGTTTTCAGCAGCGAGACCTCAGAGCTAAAGCTGGCCCAGAATAAAAAAAGAAAAAGAAAAAAAGGAGCGGTTGGGAGCTTCAGTCACCTGCCAGCCGGAAAACGGCCCTCAGCCCCTCAGCCAGCCTGGCCAGGCACCCCAGGGGGGACCCCCACCCTGATCCAGGACACCCTTCAGGGCAAACCAGCCAGCCCCCACCCGTGCACCAGGCCTCTATTCTATATAGTAAAAGGGTAATATGCTTCCTGGCACCGGGATCAGCGGAGCTGCGAGGCTCCCAGCACCGGGATCAGCATGACAGGGGGCAGCGCCCAAACCCCCTGATCGCCCTGCGGCTCTATGTGTCACGGGGGCGGGGCCACAACCTCCCTATCCGCCCTGCTCTGTTCATGACAGGGTGCGGCGCCCCAACCCCCTGATCGGCCCTGCTCTGTGTGTGACAGGGTGCAGCGCCCTAACCCCCTGATCGGCCCTGCTCTGTGTGTGACAGGGTGCAGCGCCCCAACCCCCTGATCGGCCCTGCTCTGTGTGTGACAGGGTGCAGCACCCCAACCCCCTGATCGGCCCTGCTCTGTGTGTGACAGGGTGCGGTGCCCCAAGCCACCCCCCACGGGCCCTGCTCTGTGTGTGACAGGGTAGAGCCATAACCTCTCCATCGGCCCTGCCCTGAGTGTGACATTGGTGGCACCACAACCCCCTCATCGGCCCTGCTCTGTGGGTGGTAGAGGGTGGTGCCCCAACCCCCCTCCACGGGCCCTGCTCTGTGTGTCACGGGGGAGAGCCATAACCTCCCCATTGGCCCTGCCCTGAGTGTGACAGGGTGCAGCGCCCCAACCTCCTGATCTGCCCTGCTCTGTGTGTGATAGGGGGCGGTGCCCCAACTCCCCTATCAGCCCTATTCTGTGAGTGACAGGGGGGAGCTCCTCAACCCCCTGATCGGCCCTGCTCTGTGCATGACAGGGGAGAGTTCTCAACCCCCTGATGGGCCCTACTCTGTGAGTGACAGGGGGGAGCTCCCCAACCCCCTGATCGACCCTGCTCTGTGTGTGACAGGGTACGGAGCCCCAACCCTCCTGATGGGCCCTGCTCTGTGCATGACAGGGGGCGGTGCCCCAACTCCCCAATCGGCCCTGCTCGGAGCCTGACCAGGGGCTGCACCTAGGGATTGGGCATGCCCTCTGCCACCCGGGAGCTGGCCTAAGCCAGCAGGTCATTATCTCCCGAGGGGTCCCAGACTGCAAGAGGGCACAGGCCGGGCTTGGGGGACCCCTCTCCCTCCCCCTCCCCCGAGTGCACACATTTTTGTGCACCGGGCCTCTAGTCCTATATAATAAAAGAGAAACATGTAAATTGACTGTCCCTCGGCTACGCTCACCAGCCAATCAGGAGTGAGTATGCAAATTAACCCAACAAAGATGGTGGATTAATTGCACACACAGGCACTGGACGGAGAGCAGAGCCGGAGAGCTGGCAGCTTGGGGAGATGTGGCTCCCTCGGTTGCTCCCCCAAGCTGCCGGGTGGAGAGCAGAGCAGGAGAGCCGGCGGAGAGTGGAGTGGCTTGGGGAACTTGGCTCCCCAAGCCACCAGATGGAGAGTAGAGAGGGAGAGCTGGTGGCTTGGAGTACTTGGCAGAGTGGGAGTCCATGGGAGGGATACAGAGCAGGAAGGAAAAACCAAGCGTGGGGAGCACCAGGAATTTTGGGAATAGTAGTTTTGGTGGCAGCCCCAGGACCAGAAGCAGAAGCCCATAGCGCAGGGAGCACCAGGAATGCTGGGAATTATAGTTCTGGTGGCAGACGGATCTCCTAGACCAGTGGTCGGCAAACTCATTTGTCAACAGAGCCAAATATCAACAGTACAACGATTGAAATTTCTTTTGAGAGCCAAATTTTTTAAACGTAAACTATATAGGTAGGTACATTGTTATTAACTTAATTGGGGTACTCCTAAGGCTTAGGAAGAGCCACACTCAAGGGGCCAAAGAGCCGCATTTGGCTTGCGAGTCGCAGTTTGCCAACCACGGTCCTAGACAATAGAGCAAAGTGAGCCTGGAGCAAGTTACTGTTGCAGTGGGGGATGGAGGGAAAGCAAAGGTGAGAGACATAAGTAAAATCAGAGTGTCTAGGAAAAATTAAAGGGAAGATATCCTAAAACTTCCAGGAAATCTCCACCAA